TTAAGTGTCAGGTATTAATAATGCTTCATGTAGAAAAATGCAAACATGAATATGATTTTATCATTCCCCTTGAAAAGTTCAAGGTAGGAAGAAGTGTTGCAGATAAGTATTGAGCAACGTAGGGGGTGACAGTTTTCATAGAAAAAAGCTTAATCAGGAGGACCCATTTCTAGCAACAGGATCAGTAGCAGTTCAGTATCTAATGGTGATCATTTGATTTCTGTTTGCACACACCATTTTACTTTTATACAGGGTTTCTGCAGGGTCGTGGTATCAGTTCTGTCTTATAAACACTAATCATCCAGTAAACAGATGAGCATTATCTTCATTTTATACATGAAAGTGAAATTATTAGTAAATGTATTTAGTAACTCAAAAGCATGAAATTAAAAACTGAAATTAGATCTGAGTCTGCTTTCAAAATCACTAGAGAAACATTTAACTTTTGTCACTTTGGTCAACACTATAATTCTTAAATTTATTTAATCATGAATCTTTTCAATAAAGTAATATATATAAAACACAACTAGGTTTAAGCAGGGCCTCCATTTCTAGAAATAGTAAAATGTAGCATTTGACTTGTGTTTCTAATCTTTCTAATCCACTTAAATCAGCTATGCATAAGGTGTTACCTTCTTTGTTTTTCATTCAAAGTTCCATTATTCATGAGATCATGTTATGTGTGACTCATAATTAGGCCTCTTTGTTTGGTTTCTGTTCATCTTCATTTGTTTTCTTACCTTGGTCAAATACTGTTATTTTTAGCCTCAAAATACTAATACATGCTCTAATTATTGAAAACACTATAAACAATAAATACTGATTATCTTGAGATAACTCTCATCAACATATTTTCTATTTACTGATACTTATTATTTTAGCCGTACCTCAACATCATTAAGGCTATATACAACAAACCCACATCTACTATCACTTTAAATGGAGAAAAACTGGAAGCATTCCCATTAAAATCAGGAACCAGACAAGACTGTCCACTATCTCTACTCCTTTTCGATAGAAAGTTTGTAACTCTTGCTAGAGCAGTAAGACAGGACAAAGAAATTAAAGGAGCACTACTTGGAAAAGAAGAGGTCAATTATCCCTATTTATAGATGATATATGTAACAGGTTCCAAACATTCCACCAGAAAACTGTTAGAAATGATCAGTACTTTCAACAAAGTAGCAACATACTTATTTTAGAAGAAATTTGTTAGCAACAGTTTATTTCAATACACTGTAGAGTTTTTTTGTCCTTGGTTTATGCATTTTTATTTTCACATCATTGATATTACTGCCCTGAATTGATCCCCTTCTTAGTTTCACAATCTACTAATCAACCACTGTCTTTTAAAAGTTAATAGTAGAGTGTAAGATTATTTCTCTAGTGTCTCTCAGTTCCACATTTACCTGCACTGTGTCTTAAGCAACTCTTCGTCCCTAATCTCCCATCTTATCCCCCCCACGTGGAGAATCTTGCATGCAGATGAAAGGTTAACTATTCAGTCTGCATTTCATAGAATCCTGCTTATCACCACCTCTTCTGCCTCCCCCCTTTGCTTTATCTCATAGATGTTTGCTGTCACTCATTTGACTTTCCATTAGACCAGCCATGTTCCCTTCTTGCAAGTCCCTTAGCACCTCCTCCTTCAGCTGGTTTGCCACCCTGTGCATGAGTCCCATGCCCTCTTGCCTGATGAGTCATCTTACCACTGGCTTCTGTTTCTTGGCTCCACTCTTCTTTCCTATTGCAAGTCTGAGACCAGGCTGCACATCCATCCCCCTCTGTGGAATACTTCCCAAAGACAGCATTTCATTCAAGTGCACGCCATTTTTTTCCCTGAAACTGGGCCAGTTCCTCAGTGCTCCCCATCATAGTCAAATACTTGATGCAACATTTAAAAATATAATTTAAAAGACAATGAGAAACAATGGCAGGAGCAGCTAGCCAATCAGTAAAATGTCCTTTCTCTCTGAATGCAATCATCTCCAGCTGTGGTCCCTTTCTGTTGAGAGTTCATAGTATAATACACACACATAATTAACCCAAACAAACCCACTTTTGTGAAAAACAATTTTGAATACTTCAGCACAAAAGAGCACTTCTTGGTCCAGATCCCATACTATTCTCATTTTTTTAAAGACCACACAGAAGCCTCATCAGAAGAACCCTGATTAAACTCATCAGTTCACAGATGTTTACAGAAAAATCATCAGCAGGAAAATTTTCACTAAGAAATCCTGTGTCCTAGGGAGAGAGATAACAATAGTAAAAGTGATTAGAAGCAACATTAATTATGAACCTTAATGTTCTAGCACTTTCCACAGGCCAACACATGACTCAAGAACCCTTTGAGGCAGTAACTATTATCATTCCTATTTTACAGATTTCAAAATTGAGGCTCAGAGGTTAAATAGGTTTTCCAAAGTAATGGAACTAGGAAGCACCAAACTCTCAAATCTGAGTGCATGTGAGAGGAAAACACGTACCCTTGTCACGTATGGGGGGGGGCGTCTGAGTATATCTGAGCATGTGTGTGTGTTTATTCCTGTGTGGGCCCCGAGAACACAATCATGACATGGCATGCCTGTGGAGATCAGAGGACAACCCTCAAGTATTGGTCCTTACCTTTCCATTTAAGTCAGATCTCTTTGCTACTGTGTAAACCAGGCTGGCTGGTCCCCTGGAGATTCTCCTGCATCTGCCTGTGTCCTGCCTATAGAAACATGCTGGGATTACAGATGCTTGCACTCTGTCCAGTTTTTGCATGGATTCTGGAGCTCCTAACTCAGGTTATCAGCCTTGCTGGCAAGCACTTTCACCCACTGAGTCATGTCCCCAGCCCCAAAATCATGTGGTCTTAATCACCTGATATGCTACCTGCTCCATAACTAAAATCTATGTCAGTTTCCATTCTTCAGTCACCAAATAAAAGCCAACCAAACTACCACCATCATTCCAACCAATAGCCACTCTTTTGTACTTATTGTCTTAAATTCTGCATCCTCATCTAATTATTTTCTTGGTTGTATGGTAGTCTGTCTTTAAAATTCACTTCCCACCATAAAAGTGGCAAAAGATAGAATTTAATAAGCTCTGACCACATTACTCTTTCACTGATAATCTAATGGGCTGTGTGATTTCTCTACCCTGGGGAGAGAGACAATGAGTCTTGTCAGAAGCAGAGCTCTGGTGCCACTTGTAATCTGATCCAGTTAGTGGATGGCCTTCAGGATCTTCTTCAGTTGCCTTGTCATCTTTGTAACACCAAATTCTGTTTCTCTTTTGTTTTCTCATTATAGATGTTTCTGGGTCATTGATGACAACATTCTGGGCTACCTTTTGGGGGCAATCAGTTTTTTAGAGAAAACATCACTTCTATGCACATTGTACACTGTTGTTCATGATCCTCATGTTCTTATTTACAAGTGGGACTGCCTGAAAATGAGTGCACCATCAAATGTATAGGAAAGTTTTGAAAGGATGGGGAGATTAAGCTGCTTTCCATGGTTCTGACGTGTTTTTGACTCGGGCCGTGTGTTAGGACAATACAATGTATAGTCACCACCGGGTCAGGCAAGAAGTGCAATGATTACTTGGGGTTTTCTGATGCTTGACGATGTGTATGTCAAAGAGAAACATAAAATGGCAGGTACTGGAAGGGGGCTGGCATGAAATTACCCTTCAGAAAATAAATATATATATGTGTATATATATATAGAGAGAGAGAGAGATTTTTTTATGACACAGGAGCCACGGTCAGACCTTGAGATAGGAGAAAATAAGAGGGAACAACACGTCATACCAGAGGCAGTGTGAGGTCGTGAGATGGCAGAGCATGGTAGATGTTAATAAACACCGAGAGTTCAAAGTGAAGGAATGGGAGAGAAGGCAGGCACAGGCAGCATAGCAGGGGGACCTGAAAAGGAAGAGAGAGAAGAGCAAGGCTCCAAGAGCCTTCTAGCCAGAGGGAACACTTGAGCGCTCTTACTTTTATAACTTTCCCCAGTTAGTGAGGAACCTGGTCATAACTCAAAGATAGTTTCACAGCATACATTATAGTTGTTTGTTCAGAGCGGCAGAGTGGTTTGGAAGCACATTTGTTTACAAATTTCTATTATATCCATGGGAGTTAGGGACCAGAACAACACGGCAGGCATGGCCCAACTTTTCTAACCTGTATATGCATCTGGTCTTAAAGCTGCAAGCCCATGATCTCACCATATGTTGCTTTCATGTCACCTTGGAAGGAGACCCTGTTCTCCAAAAGAGAGAGAAGAGCTTGTAGAAGCCCTGGACAGAAGCACTGAGAACAGTCTTGTTGCTTTCCTTCAGCAGACCTATGACCCAGCTGCTGTCTTTGACCTTTGTATCCTACATGACCACTTTGTTCTAAGTGAAGCACTTTTTAATAGTCAGGTTTTCTCATCTGTGAGATGGACCTAATTATTAGTGTTATAATTAGTATAGTATTATGTGACAGGAATGTTTAGCTGCTGGCTCTATTATTTTCATTATTTATCTGTAATTAAAGGCTTCAGTCATCACCTGTGTTCCCCATACCTGTGTATCTTTTGCATTCACTCTCCCTGCCCCAAGTTATTCATTCCACAAATTTGGCCTTGTTAGAATGTGGGCTTGTTTAGAGCAGAGACCTCATTTAGTGATGGTATGCAAGTAAAATGGCTTATGTTTCAAGGGGCATTTTCAAAACAGGTGTCAAAAATTGTATTAACATTATTACAGTTTGGTCTAGTAATTCTGTGTATAGGAGTTACCCCAAATAAATCATCCAAGTTGTAGTGTTAATGGCTATACCTTGCATGCTTTGGTTAATGCTTACACTGTATCTTCTGCTGAGGAATGCTATAAATAACAAACTAATCATTCACATTTAACCTTTAAATAAGCTCATAGTTTCAGATATCATTCTTGCTGGCTGGGCATTTCTCTTTAACTTCGTATGCTTAACTATAATACTGATTTTGTTTCCCTTTCAGGTAAACAACTATAGTTTAGAAGAAGTAACACATGAAGAGGCTGTAGCAATATTGAAGAATACATCAGATGTCGTATATCTAAAAGTTGGCAAACCCACCACCATTTATATGACTGATCCCTATGGTCCACCTGATATTACTCACTGTAAGTACTGCACTCTGTGTCATCTCTGAATAGCTTGCTGGCTGTGTAAACTAGAATTCCACAAAGCCATTTTCAGAGACTTCTGCTTATAGTTTCATTCTTGTCTAGCTCCTGGAAATATTTCAAAGAAGTATTCTATATGTCATTTCCATGTTGCTCTCCAGGATCTTAGCTAGTTTTTGGAAGTGTGACACCTGTATGAGTCTGCAGGTCCACCTTTATGGAAATCCTGGTGGTATATAACAGTGTGGTTACAATAGCACAGGTCTAACATATTACCAAAGATTATTTCTTATTCCCATAGAGCATAAGTGCTCTCAAGCCTTTATACTCCCTTGTATTAATTCAGATCTCTAGAGCAGTAGAGTAGTAAATAGATGCAGTCAAAGGAAACCATAGATAGTTCTACACTTCCTCCCAAAGAAGGGGCTTGTTCCCTTGAATGATGAAATTATCATCTTCGGTCATCATCATAACATTTATCTTTAGTTTGTTTTATTGCATGGAATCAAGAAAATGAACAGTCATTATGACTGTAGAGGTGGGTGGGGCAGGGGTTCTAGGGCTACAATTAACATGAATCACTATCCTGGGAATCTCATAAAATCCGCTGCTAATTAGGTCTTGTGTCTTCTCTTCTGTCTTCGGGAACTAAATTTAGAAATAATTGTCTTTTTATGTAAATGTAATGGATATTTTTGTTGACAGAAGTAAGCTTGTTAGATTTGAAACTTTGATAGTTCAGTTGTGAATCTGTGCATTCAGAATGCCCTCAGGACCCCCTACTAATTAGTACTATGGTCTGAAGAAAGTTGTTGAATCTTTCTTAGATTTAGATATTTCTCTTGAGAAAAATTTAAGAGCTGGATAACCTTAGCTGAGGGTTCATTGCCTTAGCTGTTACATTATTAATAAAGCATCTGAAATGTCATGCCCTCAAGTATATCTTTTTTAAGAAGGCAGTAAGCTGAGATTAGCCTTACCTTAGGATAAGAAAGAGTTTCAAATTTCAGAGCCCTTAGAACTGGATGAATTTAAAGGAGTCAGCCTGAAGAGTCTATGAGCCATTCAAAAAGGACACATGGAAGCAATGTCAGAGAAGAAAAAGGAAGGACACAAAACTTCCTAATCAATTAAAGGGATACATATTGAGTGCAAAAGCAAACAGTCATGTCCTTCAAGGAGTATGGTTGGAGAGTAAGCAGACTAGACTGGTTAACAATTTGGCAGAATAAGAGGCAGTGTATAATGTCAGAGAAGTAAAAGTAAATATCCTTTAGAGACTGAAAGGAGGGATATTTCTAATCTGTCTTTGAAATATCAGAGGAATCATCATGCAGAACTAGCATTTGAATTATGTCACAGGAAATGCTGAGATTTTCTGTAGCTGAGGCAGGAAAAGAAAAATTATAATTACTCGGGCAGTGCAGCAAAGGTACAGATACCAGAAAGCAGGGTTTTTTTAATCTTTTAATTTTATTTCTATTTTACCTGTGTGTTTTGCCTGCATGTAAGTGTACCCATGGGTGCTATGCTGGCAGACAACAGAAGGTGTTGGATCCCCTGGAGCTGAAGTTATGGACAGTTGTTAGCCACCATGTGGGTGCTGCAAACTGAACCTTGGTTCCCTGGAAGAGCAACCAGTGCTCTTAACTTCTGAGCCATCTCTCCAGTCCCAGAAAGCACAGGTTTTGTTGGAGGATGACAGTACGTATAAGAGATGTTGAAATAGGTCAATTCTATGAGATTCATAAAGGAGAGAATTTGTGTTCTATTCCCAAGAACAGTGGCGGTGGAGAATATTTGAGCAACAGAACATGATCAGAGCTGGATTTCCAGGGCACATCTGAATATACCAAGTAGCTCTGAGGAGAGAATGGGGCAATAGGAGCCCCAGCCGAGAGATGTCAATAAAAGAGGAATTGGGGAACAAAAATAGAAAAAGAGATGCCTGTGACTGTGGCCATTCTGCGATGAAAGTACAGCATATTTAGGGAGAAAGCCTTGTATGACAATTTATTCCTTACAAGCCTTTTAACTTTTGATGGTTGATATTAATTATGTGAAGTAAATGTGAACCCTACAATTAGAAGCTAACATTTTTATTTCAATAGGAAATTAATCATCGTTCTGAAATCATGTGTTGAGTCTCTCTTCCAGTTCTTCTTATCACCTAATTATGCTAACTAGGGTTACAAATATAACTGTTATTGATCTTTCTCATTCTAAAGGTCACCATGTGCTTGTATATGTGAAATGCAAACAGCAATTCACTCCACTTAGGAAACAAAAAAATCTTTGGCATGTAGCAAAGCCTTTGTATTTTTATCATATCCTCTGAAGTATGATATGGCACTTTGAATCACCCACTTAACAGGTTTGATTCCATTTCTTTTTTTCTCCCCAATTCCTTAGCTTATTCTCCACCAATGGAAAATCATCTACTCTCTGGCAACAATGGCACTTTAGAATACAAAACTTCCCTGCCGCCCATCTCTCCAGGAAGGTACTCACCAATTCCAAAGCACATGCTGGTTGAAGATGACTACACCAGGTCAGATATGCTCACTGATTAATTGGGCTTATTCTCATTCTCAGGAAAAGTCACATTTGCCTAACATGTCAGCTATTACTTTGGGGATAAACTATAGCTACTGAGTGCTATTCAAACTCAGCACAGTCTGACTTCAACAGAACTCTGTACATATTTGAATATGTGTGATAATGTGTCCTATTAGAAAATCATGAATTCCAGGGCTGTGGAGATGGCTCAGTGACTAAGAGCATGAAATGAAATGGGTTCGGTTCCCAGCACCCACGTCACAGCTCACAGCCATCTGTAACTCCAGTTCCAGGGGATTTAATTACCTCTTCTGTCCTCTGTGTGAATTGCATGCATGGGTGCACTTACATGTAGGCAATCACGTAAAATAAAAATAAATCTTAAAAAAAATAAAGAAAATCGCAAATCCTTGAGGAGAAACAGTAATATGCATTTATCCATCACTCTGGTTTGTTACAATTTTTCACATTTGATCCTATTTAACTTTTGCAACTATCCTATAGTATTGATTTCATTACTTGATGAAAAAGATAGTGCCAAGATTCAAAAGGGTGAATATAATTGTGTGCCAGTATTACCCATCTGGTCAGTTGAGGTCAGAGAATTTGTGTCCCCAAATGTCTTTCAGAGTGGCTCCATCCACTGAAGCCTGGTTAACCTACTAAGAGTCACATTCTTGAAAAAGACAGACTCTCCCTCCCAGCAACCATTGGTTGCCAATAGTTCCTTAAGCATAGTTTGGATTTCTTATCCACTTCCTATGCTGGGATTTTGTCTGGCCTGAGCTTATATGGGACTTATGCATGCTGTCACCATTACTGTGAGTTCATTTGAGTAATTCACCAGCTGTCTAGAAAATTCTGTTTCCTTGTGGTCATCTACCATCCCTGGTCTTGCAATCTTTCTGCCCTCTCTTCTGCAGTGACCCCTGAGCCTTGGGATGCAAAAGTTTGATATAATGCCATATTCAGGGATAAGTGCTTTGAAGCCTCTTGTTCTCTGAACATTGGCCAGTTGAAACACATACTAATTTATACTTAGATGCGGGTGCAGGTTGATACTGACTTTTCAAAACAAGTTCATAGTTCAAACATTGTTCTGCAATTTGTTTTTTCCTTGGCTATTTTTGTGGCCAAAAATGAGATTAAATATAGATATGTGTTTTATTTCTATATATTTGTGTGTATAACAAATAGAGATGGATTGTTTGGGATTTATATCTTGTCTAATTGAAAGTATTTGTCAGCCTTTGAAAACAGAGCATACTTCATGCTGAGATGTGCTCATTCTTCTGGCTTTTCCATTCTTCAGGATATCTTTTTAAATGATTAAGCATTTTCCATTTATTTTGTAATATCAGGTTTGCTGAAGTAGTTTTATATTTTTAGCAAAGGAATGAAATGTTTGGAAGCTGAACATGTGAATAAATGGTAAAAGCCAAATACAGATTTCCTCCCATGCTGAGATGTCTGATCTCTGTGTTCTTAATTAAAATGAGAACTGCAGCAAAGATAAGCCTCACGTTTCAAGGAAGAATTTTGTAAACATAGGCACCTTCAAGCACCAGACCAATGGTCTATTTGCTATCACCCTATCACTAATATTGAACCTGCTCTTAATCTGAAAATACCATTTTATCTCACTAGGACCCATAATAAATTAACATTATTAGTCTTTATAGTCTAGGGCCTTTGCTAAGTGTTTAACATACATTATTCACTTAATCCTTCTAAAAACCAAGGGAAGCATTTTCATCACTATTTAGAGATATGGAAATTAAAGTTAAACCAAAGAAGTTAAGAAAATTACTTATGATTACATAGGGTTTTTTTTTTTTTTTCTTTTGAGACAGGGTCTCACTTTGTAGCCCTGGGTGGCCTGGAATTCACTATGTAGACCAGGCTTGCCTTGAAGTCACAGAGACTCACCTTCCTCTGCCTCCTTTGTGCTGAGATTAAAGACCTGCACCACTACTCCTAGTGTTACATAGCTTTTAAATAGAAAGGCTTAGTCTTTGTCACTTTTTAAATCCTCACTACAAAGAAGCATTTAAATTTTCTCTTTAGTCCAAAATGAAAAGCAACTTGTATAAAACTCTTCTCATCAGACAAATATGTGAATGGAAAGGGATCTGAGAATTCTGATGGGCTATACAGAAAACTAGCCCAGGGTGGAGACCTACCTCTATCACTGTGGTCCTGTGTAAATCATTTAACCTCTGCAAGCTTCACTTTCCTCATCTGTGCAAGGGAATAGCAATTGAATCTCTCTCTCTCTCTCTCTCTCTCTCTCTCTCTCTCTCTCTCTCTGTGTGTGTGTGTGTGTGTGTGCACACACGCACGTGAGTGTAGATGTACAGAAGTTCTTGGAAGAGTGCTGGACCCCCTGGAGCTGGAGTTACAGCTCTCTCTCTCTCTCTCTCTCTCTCTCTCTCTCTCTCTCTCTCTCTCTCTCTGTTGTAGCCACAGAATTATGTAGTAAGTGTACAGTGTGTGGCATATATTAAGTACATGATGAGTATTGTCTGTGTACAGTGTCTTTACTTAGTGTAACTCCTAATCCACTTGAGATGTCACATGGAATGTTCTTATAGATAATCTCCTGCAACACAGTTAATCTCTTTCTATAGTAAATAGGCCTATTTATCATATCCTGCACCTGGCCCCTTTTCTGTTTTTATGCAGGATAGTCTTACTAATAATGACATAAAGCCTTCTAAATGGCTGGGGCCCAGCAAACTAGTGAAGTAAACTCCATTAGTTCATACCCATATACACTTCCCCTCACATCTGTCAGTCCTGATGTGTTCTGTCCCATGTTCCCATGCCTTAGGTGTTACTATGGACAGAGAATTGCTCAGAGGTAGATCCAATACTCCATTTATTACATTAATCAAATATTCCTGCTCGACAGTGAGTGTATGCATCTAAAAAGTATTAAACTGAAGCAAAAATATGTGTAAACCAATACCTATTTCCCCACTCTTCTATGAGATTTTCCGTAAAGTTGAGTTTATTATTTCGTCATCTTGAGATTTTTTTTTATTCTGACATTAAATTTTCCTTTCTTTTGTAAAAGAATTATTATAACTAATAACAATTATCATGTCCTTGTCTAGAAAACAAAATATTACAACTTTTTTTCAAGCCTTTTTTCTAATAGCAAGATCTTTTGGATTGACTTTTAAAGCCCAGAAGTAAGAGTATCATTGCTCTCAGGAACCTCTCTCAGAGTGCCCCAAGACCATCACAGGCAGCTAGGAAGCATTTCTAAGTGAGTTTGAGGTTTACATAGATGATGCATAGGAACAACCACGGCATCAAATGAAGCTTTTAAAGAGGAAATGGTTCTTGATTTTGAACTTGGGAATGTATAGGTATTAGTCAGAATCAAGAATTCAGAAAGAGTATTTGTAGTAGAGAGATAGCTTGTAAAGACTTGTAGAAGAATATGAAATTAAAAAAATATAATCAAATATTAGAGTTTGAAATGTGAGTCATAACATAGTTATACTTCCGTTTAAATTATCTTTATACCTCCATGTTTTTCACAGGGAACTATCTGTAAGACTTAAAATATATAAAGTCGTAACAAGAAAAAATTCACTACTGTGAACCATTAACACTAAGGGCTTTAATATCCTTTTAATCCTTTGTCCTGTGCTGTCTGTGATATTCTTGATTTTTAAAAATAACAAAAATGCTCAAAGAATTAAGAGAATTAAAGAGGTTAAGAAATTGCCTGATGTCATACAGCAAACAGCAAAATTAAAGAATTCTAATCATGTGTCTTTAAAGGTTTCATCTTCACACCCTATTCCTCATCTCACAGAGCCCTATTTTATGGAGAAATGCGTTATAAGAATAACTAGACTTGCAGTCCTGGCCTGCCACTTATGACCTACATGACTGAACAAGTCACTTAATCACTATAAGTCTTGATTTCCTCGGCTGTAGATTTGGGGTAAGGGATCATGTAATTTTTTCAAGGAATTACAAGGTTTTAATATAATAATAAAGTATGAATATTACTTGTCATTTTTAGAAGACTTTATATGAGTTTATAAACTACCTTAGCATCATATATTATGTTTGAAGTTGTCTTTATTTTTTCTAAAATAATAAATCAAGGAATGAATCTCTAATGATGAGATCTTAGCAAGCAGGAAAACATTTCTGTGAGATGAGAACTCTTCAACAACCTATTAAATCACATCAAGCTGGAAACATTTTAATATATGCCTCATATCCTATTCAGTCTATTGTAAGAAGTATTGATCTATTCCTCTGGTTTATATTCATTTTGTTATGGATATATAGTAAGAATTGTTAAGCAGTTTTGTAATGCTACCATGACTTAGCTTATCTATTTCTTATGACATTTAGAAATGTTTTCCCATCAATTTAAGAAAGGAAGTAAAACAACACTGGTCTCGTATAAAATTCTCTTAATAAAGTGCCTAAGGAGTCCCTTATAGGGTAATATTCATTATGATTACAATATATGGTTTTCAGCTGGGTATGGTGGCTCACCCTTATAATCCTAGTACTTGGGAGACTAAGGCAAAAGATTGCTATGCGTTTGAGTGCAGACTGGGTCACATAGTAAGCTCTGGGCTTACTGTGATAAAATAATTCAGATTTTTTGAAATCAGTGGTGCCTACGTAGTTTTGGGCTCTGAGTTATAAAGTGCTAGAGTAGGAAGAGCCGTAAATAAATGTAGCGTAATCTGCCATTTGATGGTCCCATACTTTTAAATATTAGAATCAGATTTAAAAATGATATTTTTGAATATTCAATACATTATTCTTTCTGTTTCTCTAAACTGCTACTCACTATTGTGGGGGTGAGGGATCTGGAAGAAGAGATCAACAGTTTTAAAACGCTATAATCCATCAAGTATGTCCTTTGAATGGTGCCCTTTATATGTTACCTTCATCCGTGTGTGCCTCCTGTTGGCAGTCAGTACTTCCCGTGTACTCAGCACAAGT